TAAAAAAATAAATAAACAAATTGTAGGCTCAAAAAGAGGTGTCTCAAGAGGCCAGACAACGACCTGAGGGGATGTGGGAGAGACGTCTCTGTCCCAGGAGAGGGTTTACCCCTGAGGACCTCCTTCCTGCTCAGAGGGACCTTGAGGGCAGGGAGGATGTTAAGAAGCTGCAAGTCTTATGGGCGTCAGAGGGAACAGGGACGGCTTGTAGGGCACCAGCCTCACTCCCCAATCCTGCCATTAGCTACTGTCCAGAGGAAGAACAGTAGACCAGAGATCCTGAAAGCCCAGCTCCCCCTTTCTACATGTAATTTCCCCTCTTTCAGGCTTGGACCCCTTCAAAAACCACAGCTTTGTGTTCAAGGGGGAACAAAAATACATGAACAAAAGCAACAAGGAGCTTTTTGGTTTTACCAAAAGGAAAGGAAAAAAACCCAGCCCTGACATCCTGCCTCTGGGAAGAGCTGCTGCTGGAACACTGCCCACAGGCAGGCAGGGAGGGCTCCCTGCTAACCCAGTTTCTCACCCGTCCCCCAGGCCTAATGGGCTGAAGTGGTGGGGATAGGAAGCAACAAGGAAGCATTGTTTGACCACAAGAACAAAATGAGCAGTCGAAAAGATCAAGGCTAGACATGAGGAAGAACTTTCCAGCCCCCAGGGATTACAGACAAAATGAAAAGGAAAAACAAAGCCTGTACCTGCCCCTGTTGGCAATACATAAAGAAATGATTCTGCCAAGTTGAATAAGGCATGGGAATGCTGGGTCTCAGTTTCCTCATCTGTGAAATGGGGGTGTTAGGAGGCAAAGTGATCCCTGAGGTTCCTGGAGGCCCTGATATCTCTGAATGTTGGAGGTGAGTGGGGGGGTGGGGGCTGCCTGGAGGCTGCATTTGGCCTCTGTGACTGTCCATTTCCACGTGCCTTCCCCACCCCAAACATCTACCCCATACCCCTTACTCTCACTCCTGCTGCTAGCCCCAGCTCCCCAAGATGTCTGATCTCAATTTTCTTAGTCAAAAGCAAAGACTTCTGGGGAGGCAGGAAAGCCCCAGGCCCCAGTCCTGGCTATGCCCACCATGACCCCAGCTTAAAAGCAGCTGGGATTAGAGTTTGCTAGAATCCAGAGACATTTAAGTATCCAGCCCCATGTGGCACAGACTCCATCCCACTCCCATCTGAGGCCTGCAGGAAGGGGCAACAGCATAGCCTCTGCTTCCCCAGAATCAGAGACATCTCCACGCTCCTCCGCCCCTCACCCAGCAGCTCACGGAAACTGAAGGATGGACCCCAGATATCTGCAGTCAATGAAGAGGAGAAAGGTAGAATCGAGCTCCCCCTTTCCTTCCCCAGCCCATGCCCACTCCCCACTTGACACCCCAAAAGCTGTCTCCCCTGGCCTGCAACCCCGCCTCTGTCTGTAGGCCCCCCAGGAGAAGGGAACAGGCACATTTCTCTCCATTCCCACCTCCATCCCCACCCCTTGCCTGACCTCCAGACTCCTAGACTATTTGCATGGAGACAAAGAAGCAGGTTTGTACCAAGCCAGGGTGTGTGGACCTTTCTGCCCCACTTTTGGAAAATCCAGTTTACAAAACAAATAATCAACGACATAAATATTTCTCTAACCAACCAGCAGGCTCACCCCACCCACCTAGAAGCCTCCAGAAATAATTCAACTAGCGGTTCTTCCACCGTTGGCTATTGTGCAAAAGCAGGCGTGCTCCTCTCCCTTGCACAGCAGTGCCTGCGTGGCTGCGGCCCCAAATGTGAGAACACACACGCAGCCCATTCAGTCCAGCTCCCTGGTGTTCCTCCCCATGGCGTGTGTGTCTGAGTCTGCACCAGGCACGTGTGTAACTGCACGTACATGGGGGTCCCCCACACCAGCAGGCCACTAGGAGCTCTGGCCTGTGTTCTCTCCCCAACCTCACCCCCCAAACAATTCTGATGCAAGGAGAGAACCAAAGAAGCCTTTTCACTGCTTATAGTCACTTTCCAGAACTTAAATCGCAGCCTTAAGAAGCTGAAGCCATGTGGAAAGACAGTTTTCTTCTCTCCTGATCACCTCCTTGCAAGATCCTAGCTCCCCTCAGGGCTCAGGGACTGGCCAGAGGCAGGCAGAACACAGAGGCCACCCTGCACACAAACTTAACACACTCAGTGGGTGGGCCCAACTCCCTGGCAAAGTGCCAGGAGAGACCACCTGCCTCTTTGGGTCCTGCACTGGGCTTAGCCCAGCATGTAACAGGTGATGCGAAGGCAAAGGAAGCCAGGCCTGTGGTCCACAAAGCAAGGCCCAAACAGGAATGGGGTAAAACATTCCCTGGAAACTCCAGGATTCAGGAAACTGAATGTCACTCAAGGATGGGGCCAGATGCAGGAAGAAAACAGGAGAGTGTAACAGTGAACACCTGGCACAGTGCCTGGTACACAGCAGGTGCTCAACAAATACTCTTTGGTGTATGGTCTAGCTGTATAGGACTTTTTTGGGGGGTGGGGGCTGGGTGGCACAGTGATCGAACCCTGGACCTTGGTAATAACATGCTCTAACCAACTAAGCTAACCAGCCAGCCCTGTAGGACTTTTTAACTATGGGGAAACCAAGGCTTAGACAGGTCTAGAGGGTACTCCTTACAGGCAGGGTCCCATCTGGTTCATCCCGGAATCCCCATGTCTGGCTGGCTGGCTGGCCCAGACTAGCTGCTCTGTGGGAGCATACGTGCCTTCAGCAAGGTGCTATGACAGCTTAGAGTGATACACAGCTGGGTCACAAATCCTGAAGTGGTCCAGCAATCAAGGGGTTAACTGCCCTGGCTTCTCTGAACCCCACCCCACTCCCCAATGGAGAGAGGAAGTGGCAGAGAATCAGGGCTTGTGTGAGCCCTTAAGAATTCGAAGCATGTCCCATTTCCCTTGGGGGGTGGGAGGGAGGGGTAGATAGGGGGAAGAGGAACAGTAGAAGTTAATAGAAGAGAAGGGACAACTGAAGGAGGAGCCAGGACAGAGCCGTGACCCGTCCACTACCCCAGGCAACCTGCCCAGTGCCCAGTCCTTCCAGAAGGGACAACATTTATGTTACTTCTTGGGCTGGAGACTTTATCAGAAATCTATTTTCCTGGCACCTGGCACAGGTTGGCATAGAGCAGCAGACAGGCAATAAATGTCTGATGAATGATCAAACCCCCGAAGAGCCGGGGCAGTGGTAGCAGCAGGCAAGTGGAGTGGGGTAAGGGAGAGGCAGCCCTTCAGAGGGATTTAAGCCCCCAACCCTTTATAGACAAATCCCAAATTTCCCTTCCTGGATGAACGTTGCAGCTGCAAAGGGCCTCTTGACAAAGAATTAAAAACAAAGAAAAAAACTGGACTTAGATCAGGTCCTAAATTTATTTGAATACTGATGTTGCCACCTACTTGCAAATAACTTGACCTTCAAAGCCCCTGCCTAGTGGGGTGCTATGAGGTCCTGCGTGTGCTGCGGACCTGACGCTGAGTTTGCACCTGCTACTCACGAGGTCAACCAGAAGATGGAAGGTTGCTGCACCCTCTGGAACCGCATGGGATGGGATAGGTGGTGTCCCTCTGGGATGAGGGACTCCACCTCTATTCCACCTCCCAACTCCCCCCTCCAGCAGACCAGGCTGCAGGTCCCAGTGCAGAAGGAACAGAGCCCAAGCTAACCACAATCCAAAAAAAACCAGTCTCCACAGCCTGCCTCACTAGGCAGGGAAGGGATCTGCCCGCGCCGGGCCACACCCTCCATGCTGCTCCTACTTCTCAAGAAATGAACATCAGAAGGTCTGGGGCCGGTTTTCCTGAGGGACCACTGAGAAAGGAGCCCCCAAAGCCTAGTAAGTGCCCAGGTAAGAGAAGGAGTCTGCTAATTGCCAGGTGAAGGGACAACAAAGTCTCCAATCCCAAACACAGCTGGGCAGAAACAGGGCAGGTCACTTATTCCTGAAAGACCAAGCTGGGTCCCTCTCTGACGGCAGGGTACAATGAAAAGAGCATGCTTGCTTTAATGTCAAGAGATTGGGCTTGAACTAGCCTCTCACTAGCCATGCGATCTTGAGGAAGTCCCTCCCCTTCCCCAAGCCTCAGTTTCCTCATCTGTAAGATGGGAATAACAACAACCCTTGCTTCACCCAACTATTGTGAGGACAAGATGTGATTAATACATATCAAATAGAGAGTGGAAGTACTCGGCAATGTCACCTTGTGGTTAAAAGGAAGAACTTGGGGAGGGAGCCAAGGTACCCACCCAGCCCCCGGCCCAGGATAGGACTCACGCGTTGCAGTAGGGCTTCTTCTCATAGCCCTTGTAGTTCTTCATGTTCAGTGTCATCTTGCAGGTCTCGCAATGGAAGCATGCTTTATGCCAGAACTGGGGATGGAGACAGAGGGAAGACACCCATCAGACATGAGGACTTCAGGAAGGGGGCTCGGGCCCTAGGAAGGGGCACTCAGGAGCTCTCCACTCTGGGGGCTGTCCTAGGCCCACGGCTGCAGGGAGAACATGGAATCACCCCTCTGAGCCTGAGGCATCTCAGGTCACAGGCTCTGGCAGGGGATGCTACTGCTTTCCCTTTGCCCACCCCCTACCCATCAGCCATTGAGCTGTCAGAAGGGGAGAAGGGCAGGTATGAAGGGTGAGTGGTGAAGAGCCCGGTTACAGTGGTGGCGGCAGCCCCCAGAAGGTCAGTCCACCTTCCCCAGACCACTCTTCCCACTCCAGAGCGCAGAGGCCTCATTGCTTATGTAAAGCTGCACTAGGGTTGCTAAGAAGCAGCTGCTGAACACGAAGGGGCAACCCCTCTAGCCTGGCCAAGGACAGGAGAAGAGGAAGGCCCAGCCCCCATGCAGGCCCAGAGCCCAGGCGCTCACCGCTCCCACACCAGGGCCTCCCAATGCACATACAAGCCCCATGTGAGCCCCATGATGCTCCAGCTCTGACACCTCCCACTTGCTGTGGAACCCCTGAGTAGAGGAGTGGGACGGGTGCCCAGGTAGGAGAGCACCCAGCAGCTGGTCTCCTGCTGAGGCACTCAAGAGCTTTGCTTGAAAGCCTTGGAGGTGGATCCCCCATAGTGGACATCAAAGCTCCACCTGACTAGCCACATGACCTGGAGCAGGGCCCTGCACTTCTGAGTCCACGTCCATGTCTGCAGAATGCATGTAATAATACCTATCCCTCCTGGGATGGCTGAGATTAAATGAGAAATCACCTGCAAAGCCCTCAGCACAGTACTGGGCACCTCTAAGTACTCAAATGCCAGGTGCTGGGCACGGCAGCCATAAACCTCAGCCAAGGGGCTCAGCAGCCCTCACTGGAGGCTGTGTGTGTTGGGACGCAGGCAGGGCTTCACTGTGCCCAGCCACAGCTCCGGTGCCTGTGTGTGAGAATGAGGGACAGGTAAGACTCCAGCAAGCCCAGGGAACTGGAACTGAGTCACCAGGATCGGTCCAGGATAGCCAGTGGGGGAGAGCGAGGAGAAAGCGATGAGAAGAGAAACCACAAAACAGAAATGACCCCATCTCTGGGAACTGTTGAGGCTCAGGTAAACCCATGCAAATGGGATACAAATTTGCCCCTGGCAGCTCTGGATGAGGCCTTGAGATCAGCACAACCAGGGTCCAGAATACAGGCTGCCTGGGTGACCTGGCTGGCCTGTCCCTGCTCCATTTCCCAGAGGTCAGGGAAGACTTCCTGAACCCCAAAGGAGGAGGCAAGAGGGTAGGGAAGGACCCAGGGGGACTTTCAAAGGTGCCCAGTCACCGGGCTGATTCTTGGCCATCTGTCAAGGAATTCCTCCATGGCGGTGCTTTTCAAAATGTGTTTCCCAAACCAAGAGGTGCTTCTGAGACACGTGGAGGAAGGGACAGAAGGAAGCCAAGAAGCTGGGATTCAACCTCCCCCATCATGACCCACTTCAAGCAGAGACCACCAGGGTAATTTCAGGGGGCAAGCGCCTTCTAATAATGTACTTTCCCTATCAAGGAGACCCAAAGGAAAAATCTAATGATGAAATATTAAACAAAGTGACAGGAGAACCACTCCTTGGGAAGAAGGCCAGCTGGAAGTCTGCAAGCAAAGGGATTTCTCATCTAAGCTTGGCCCCCACCCCAACCTGGCCCATCCCCTAGCCCCTCACACAGCAACTTCCAGTGTATAACCCCAATACACACAACCCTCTGGAAAACTAAAACAAGGTGGTCCCTGCCCCACAGGCCCCTGAAGTGATAGCCCCACTCTCTCCCCCAGTGATGGGGAGGCATTGGCAGAGTGCCCCAGCCTTGTCACTACCCAGTCTGCTGGCCCCTGCCTGGGCCCCCGCCTCTCCCCACCCCCGCAGGGGACTGCCAGGAAAAACATTCTCCAGAATCCAGACCATGACCCACTTTCACACACACATACGCAGGAATACACACTGTCCTAGGACTGGGCACCTCCAAGGCTGCCTCCTGATTAATGTGGGGGAGATGAAGGGAGACAGACAGATACCCCTACTATAACACACGGCCAGGTCCCCACCCTGGAGGCAAACCACTTGGAGAAGGGGGGCAGAGGATACTGACCGGGCTGGGGGTACAGGGCCACCACCCTATCCAGAGGTTCCACAAGACCCCTCCAGGCTGCCACTTGGAGGAAGTGGATCCCCTATACAAGGGATGGTACCCATTTCCATCAGTGGCTCTTCTGCACCTCACCCCCAGAGACTCCTTGCTCTCAGCTAGACACATCAGAGGCTGGGGCAGCAGAGGGTGGTCACCTGTCCCTTACAGAGGGCTCAGGAGCGGAATAATGAAAACAAGAGTAGACTGAGTGCCTTCTGGGTAACTACCGAACTCAGCCTCCATGTCTGTAAAGTAGGGCTAGAACTACTGTCTGGCACAGGTGCTGGGGTGGGTAAGGAGACAGGCGGCCGCAGGCCTCACTAATGCCTGAGCCTCTCCTGCCTCGCGCCACTCCCTCTCCTCTCGGGGGCGGGGGGGGCTCTGAGGGTCAAGAATATCCAGCAGCTCCTGCCACTGTGTCCTCCTGAGGGTAGGAAAGTTGTGGGGAGGGGAGAAAAAAAATGGCCAGTCCCTCAACAAGCCCAGTGAGCCAAGTCTGGGCTGGCCACCAGGACCCCAAGATAAAGAAACCCTGTCCTGACTCAGGTCAGGCGAAGGACACTGTCAGGGACATGAGTCGATACAATCTTACAGTGGCCCTGTCTGCCTCATTACCCTGCCCCATGAGCCCTGCCCCAGAGCAAGAGCCCCCTCTTTTAGAGGCCCCTGGGAAGAAGGTTTTAGAGGTGCATTCCTGGGACTCAGGACTCAGGACTCTTGGTAGCAAAGCGTACGTCCAGGCATATGACTCTAATCCTTCCCATTACCCACAACGTCCACGGTTTGCCTGTTCACAGAAGCCAGCCAGCCCCCAGACCCAACCTCTCAACCCAGAGGAGAGTCACCCTTGACTTTCCCTTGTCTGCCTGCAGCCCCCTCTACAGAAAGCCCACTCTACAGAAAGGTCAATGGAGGCTGGTAGAGGCAGAAGGTCTGCAAGGATCCTCCTCACTTGGACAAGGCTTGGGCCAGCCCCTTTCCCTCTACATCTCTGGGTGAGGGGATGTGGCGAGCTTCAGGTCACCGGGCCTGCAGCCTGGCACCTTGCCCTCTGTACCCAGGCTGCCTGGGGTGGCTGTGACTCAGGGTTGGAGTATGAGACCTTCCCCTCCCTTTCTGTTGCTCAGAGTTACAGTTTCTCTCACCTCCAGGGGCAACGCCAGCCCCACCCTGGCAGGGTCACCAGTCTAGCCCAGCTGGCCACCTGAGCTGCTGGCTTAAAGGCACAGACCTGGGGGGGGGGGGGG